CTGCCAGCATATCCTATTGCGCACTCAGTATACAAATGAGCAATATGTCAGCGCCCGTCGTTGGGCATTTTGGCTTCTCTTTTTCACAATGGGAGGAGATGGAGATGTACTGTTCATCTTTATATAGAGAGTACACAGCACAGTGTAGAAATATCTATTTCAAGTTGTTAGAAAGATAAGAAATGTCATTGCAGGTTTTCCAAATGCAGGGTTTTTAGTTTCTGATAAAGATGAAGACACTGACACAAGATGTTGGTTTCGAAAGAAAATTTAGTTTGTAACAGTAAAATTTAAACACAAAATAAAACTCAGTCATTAAAAATAAAACAAGAAACAAAATGGATCAATATTTGGAGTAGTGGGCACCGCCGTCCGCTCATATTTACAAATGATGAGAAATAATGCTAAAAATGGTCTTTAAAAAAACAAACTGTGTAGCAAATAACTGACAACAGGCAAGGGACACAAAGTTCATTTCAGGCGAGCAGAGCTTCCCTTCATCCTCCAACAGAACTCAGAACTCAGTCATCTTCTTGTGTGTGTCAGCCTTCCTGTGCTCGCTCTGGATGGACAGCTCCTGGGCTTTCTGCTGGGCCAGCAGCCTGCGAGCCGCTGACAGCCTCTCTTCCAGATGCTTCACTACGGATGTGTCCCTTTGCGCACACAAACAACAAACAGAAGAGGAGATGGGGAAAGACAGAAGAGACAACTTAGTTTTTTGGGCTGCACATTTCCAGGATAAGATGTCAGCGGGAAGTGTTGAATCTTCACACCATATTTACATTTTTACACCACACCCACATGCCTCCTCATTTGTGAATATTAATTAATAGTCACTTTGCTTGACAGGAACTTCACAGAAACTAGTGTGCTCATATTTTAAAATAAATCATAGCTATGGGAACAGTGTGTATGCTTGTATATGTATGTACATGTTGTGTTGTGATTGCTAATGACTCAGTGCTCTCCATGGAGGAGATAACAGGACGTACTCACAGAAGTCAGATTAGACAAATAGAAAAGTACATTTGATAAACCACCTGCACAGAACACAAACTGACCTTCCTGCTTGTCTGCTGAGTGACTTAGTCAGTTTCTGGATCTCTCTCTCGGTCTGGGAAACCCGCTCAGCAGCCTGAAACACCTTCACATTCAGACTCCTCTTGGTGCTTTTCCCTCCCCTGTAGGCCTCCACGCCAGACGCTGATGCTGCTGCTCCCCCCTCAGCAGCTCCAGCGCTCTTTCCTCCCAACTGATTATTCAAAAAGTCAAAGACATTCTTCCTCCCTTCTTTGGGGGCCCAAGGTTTTCTGCGTCTCTTCGGGCGTCCGCTTTGTGTGCCGTCTTTGCTAATCTTGCTTTGGGTCCGCCTCTGAGTGAGCTCAGCACAACTGTCCAGAGACTTACCTTTGGGTAGGACCACTGCCATGACCGGCTCTACCCGACCTTCCTGCTTCTTTCCTAAGCCTGAAAACACAAAAGCAAGAAATGTGTGAGGAAGACAGAGACACTGCATTTTATCTTATTCCCTCACAGGGAACAGCAAATATATAATTCAGACCAGTTTAAGACTAAATGTATTTATGCAAACCAGAGAAGAAAGTAAAAAACAAAAACAGAATTTAGAGTAGTTAAACATGGCATGGTGTTTTAAAGCGCCCTGTCCTGCTCAGATGGGTGAGGCAGCATGCAACTTTTGTTGCCCTCTAGTGTCTATTCAACATATGACACCCTCCATATTTTTGTTTTATTATTGCATCCTGTGTGATCGTTGATTGAAAGTTTCTAAGAAACTCAGTTAATTATATATTTTTTTAATGAATTTATTTTGTTATAAGGATCTTCAAGCATATTAACAATGTGATTATATGATCTTTATTTACACTGATTTACCTTTTTCATTGAGTCTAATACAACCAGCGGGAGCTGTGATTCTAGTGTTTAGGCGTTTATTGATTTTTGCTGATGTAATCGGGGTATTCTAACTTTTACTTCAGAGGAAATCGTTCCTGCAGAGCCAGGGACCTTAAAAAGTCAGGAGGCATTTCTTTGGATTTAGTAAATCTAGTGGTTTCGGAGTAGGTGGAGACCCTGTGTAAACACATTTAACACTGGGTAAACTTCCAGCCCATCTAGATGTTCTTGCTATGAGAAGACAACACAAATTATTTTGTTGGTCTAAAAGCATTAGGACAGGATGTAAGCTGATGAAGTATTATGTAACATTGCCTTCATCAAGTAATGGTAAAACATTTGCATGTAGTGAAATGAAATGTATTGCTCGTTTAAAAATATAAGCAAGACACTGATGACTACTTTGATCAGGATAGGAAGGTATAACTTCAGAACTTAAAATGTCGATCATGCTGTGCACCTGTACTTACCTTTCCCATATTCATAACCCATTTTGAGCATTAGCTTGGAGCCGATGCCTCTGGTATGGGCCTCCCAGCCGCCAAAATTTGCACTGTTTAATGATTCTGAGGGGTCCAAAGCAGAGTCCATAACTGTTGGGCAATTAAAGAAAAGTAAAGCAGAACTAGTCAGTTATGTTTTTAATGAGGTAATGGCACCCAACAACTTTCATATAAATCTCCAAAGCTCTGTGAAAATACACCAAAGTCACAATCTATTTCTCACAAGATTTGCAAAGACAAGCTCACGCTTTGATTTACAGGACACTCTGCAACACATTCTGTATGCATACGCACCTTTTGCATATGCCAGATCATCTCCATCTCCCGTGTCCTCAAGGTCAGACTCAGAGGAGACCGGGTCGTCTTCTCTCAGAGGGGGGATGATGCAGTCGGCCTCTACCACAACTTCTTTCAGCAGCTGGCTGTCAAACTTCACAGTGTAGAAACCACTGTCAATTTCTACATTGAGAAAAATAAAATCGGGTCAGCAAAAACATTCAAACATGAATTGATAATATTTTCTACTGTTGTCTATGAGGGTAACTTTCAGAGATTTTTAGGAAATGTTTTTGTTTTTGATAGGATGACTTAAAATCAAGCAGCCTTAGTGTGAACTCAAAGTCAAAGTTGTCAAAGTAAAACCTTTTAACAGCGTACCTTTGATTTTGGCCGGGTACCAGATGCCGTCCTCATGTCGAGCCAAGCAGGACGAGCCCTTTTCAAGATTACTGAGGTCAGTCTCAAGGAACTCTCTGAGCTCGGACACATACACCACTTCCCCGTGAGAAAACCTGCAAAAAAGTGGTACAGGAGAAATACTGTGTCAAGACAAAAACTGAGACCTCAGCAGAATATGCTGATGATAATTCAGAGTGATTCAAATAATATCTGACTTATTATCAAGAGTTTTATTTTTGGGCTTTTATGTCTCTATTCAGACAGGACAGTGGACTGAAAAAACTGAGGAGAGAGAGAGAGATGGGGGGAGGGATGACATGTGGGAGAGGATCTACAGGCTGGACTGGAACTTGGGCGGCCCCCCTCAGGCATGAGGTACTAGAAAACACATTTGTAGTTATTTAATCTTTTCAGAGTGAAAATTCTAAGAAACTGTAATTCAACTCTCAAATTATTTCCCTAAATCAGAATTGGATTTTTTTCTGACTGCCTGTTTTCTGTCACTATGGCGAGATCATTTGGAAAATGGGAGACACATTCTGGATGGTCTCTAACTGTGGTACCTTACCTACAGTCTTCCTTGAAGCTACACCTGTCCTCCAGGTCGAATGGACAGGGTTTCATTGACCTCTGGGTGGGGTGAAGGTAGAGCACTCTCACTTGTGCCTCTTCCCCGTCTGGTGGTTCTGCCCCCACCACCATGGCATTGTGATACTCCAGTGTCCCCCAATTAGTCCGGTATGGGGCTCTTACTTTGGTACCACTGAGTGCATCTTCTTCCTCCTCCTCTTCCTCCTCCTCTTCCACTCCATCCTCTACCTTTTCCCTCTCTCTAGTATCAGAGCTACTACCTGAGGATTCTCCAAGTTCAGCGTAGAAAGCAGCAAACTCATCACCCTGAGCTCCATTGGCACTGTTTGTGTCAGCTGCTGTGTTTGACAGCAGTCCAGAGCTGTCCTCAAGGCTGGCCAGAAGCTGACTCTTTTTGACGGACACAAGGCTGGACTCTGTGAGCTCTATCAGCTGACAAAGGTCCTCTTTGAGCTGCAGAAGGTCTGACTCCTGGGAGGGGTCCAGGCCAGCTGAAAGGGCTGTCTCCACTTGCTGCAACTGGGCACCATAGGTAGAGATCGCAGCCTCAAGGGTTTTCTCATCCATACTGACTCTTGGCAAAGAGTGGGGCAGAATCAGACAGCATCAAACCCTCAGGAGTAAGACACCTGAGGAAAAAGATTGTTGATTTAAAGAAGAATGCAAACATAGATTGCATTACATTATACTGTAAAAAAAACAACTACATCATACAAATGTAAAAATATCTTCTGCATACTCTGACTATTAATTATGGAAAAGCTTCTCTGTGAGATACGAAAAGCTAGTTAGTGGTTTTTAGGTGTTTGCATTAATGAGTCGCTCAGACAGAAATGTATCACAGCTAGTTTAGCTTCAGGGTTAGCCGTCATTAAATGAGCTTTTAGCCTGGTTATAATGACACTAGAATTACCTTCATGAGCAGGCTGTTTATTTGACATCAACTGCACTGAAGAGACGCCTTTAGTCCAGCCATGGAAACGTGTGAAAAATCTGTAAATAATGGAGCTAAGTTGTCTAGGACAGTACAGCCACAACATACACCGGTGCACTATCCAGCTAGCGAAAACGAAGGAAAGGCTTCAAAATAAAATAAATTTCTACGTTTTTCACCTACTACTGCCCATACAACGTCGGAAATGTTTTATGCTAGTGGCTGAAGTCAAACATTCACATAATAAGAGCAGAGTTGTTCTAAAATACACTTCCCAATGTTTTGTTTTCCATCGTCAAACTATATTTGGTTTTATTTTGAAACTACATCACCAAACCCGGAAGTTTTATCGCAGCTTTGTCAAAACATGTGAGCCCAGACGCAGAATGATGACGTTTCTCGTGACCAGCGTTCAGTAACTTCGCCACTATTCTACACATTGTTTATGTATAAAATAAACCCTCTTCTTTGGACTTATCCTCCGCCTAGATGGCTCACTCATGTTAACTAACGTGACGGTAGGCTCCCTGTTTGTTGACGCTTGTATGCAGACTCAGAAACATGCTTGGTGCTGTCAGCTGACTTAAGAGACTACAGCGATGCTTCAGATGTTCTGCTGAACTACATAGACTTAATGTTGTTATGGATCTGTTTCCTTACTTTAATAATTAGACCTCTTGACAGGGCTGCACCTGATATAAGACTGGCTGATATATCAAAACGTTAAACCTGAATGTAAAAGTAGTCTGTGTAAAAAATTACATAAAATGCTGACATGTAGTTTAATAAATTTGCAAAGATTTAGATGACCACAGGATTAAAGAAGCCGTTCTTCATATTTTTACCTGATTACACAGAAAAAGGCTTGATGGTAAAACCATGATGACCATAATAAATAGTGGCAACCTTCAGAAATGATTTCTCATCTTGACCACTGGCAGCTCAGACCAATTTATCAGGCATGGATGGTACATTTTAAGTTTACCTGGTTTCTTTTGAGATCATTTTCTGTGTTTGTATAAAAATTGTTATGCTATTTGTTTAGATTTGATTCACCATACTGGGGCAAAGTTTGAGGTTTCCAGCTCTTTAAAACACCAAAGGTTACAATTTAAGATTTGAAATGTTACATTTAAAGATTTTGTTCAATATGGCAGATGAACACAACGTATTAGAGCATATAATTAGCAGAAAGGCTTAATGTAAATAATTAAAGTTTGATTTATTTTCTTCTCCTATATTAATTGCACCAACCCCTCCCTCATGAAGAAAGCCCTGCTGTCATGCCTCCCACCATGACTCAGATCAGTGATCCAAAGATTGCTTTTGCCTACCTCCGCCCGGCATGTGTCCTGCTCACCCGAGAGCCCACTGTGACCAACGTGGACACTCTGAGCACCCAGCTGAAAGAAGTCAACGACGCTACACTGCAGCAGCTCCAAGACTATGTTCTGTTCCCTCTTCGTTTTGTCCTCAAAGTCCCCGGGCCGAAGAAAGACAAGCTCGTTCAGGCGGTGGCTGAGGCCATCAGCTACGTCCTAGAAAACACTTGTGTCCAGAGCTGGGAGACCCTGCATGACCTCCTCTCTGAGCTCTGCCTCTGCCTGTGCTCTCCAACCGACCTTGGGAAACCTGCAGATACATCAGAGGAGCTACAGTCAGCTGTGCTGAGGTGCCTAACTGCACTTCTTCATGCTGCTTATGGTGATATAGTCTTCAAACTCTTTGAACCCATTATGCTGCCCGGACTTGGAGCTACCGTGTCCCTGCTGCTGGCTTTAGCAGAGAAGACAAAATCTAGAGATATTCAGGTATCAGCGTTGAAGTGCCTCCAGGCTCTGACTCTGCAGTGTGACTGTGATCAGGACCACGTAGTACCAACCTCAGAGGAGAGATGCATGGTAGGCAGCATCGTGGCCTCGTTCCTACCTGGGATCACTGTGACTGTAGCCAGGATCATTACAGGAGACCTGAGACAAGGCCATGGAGTAACAGTCAGGGCCATCAAGGTACAGTGTCTCTGTTTAAATTTGAATTAGATGTTGTATTGTGGTGTACAGTGCTGTCATGCTGGAATATGTTAACTATGTTTAACTTATTAGAAATTCATCATGTAATTGGTCATCATAGTCTGTACTTAATTTAGCAAGTAACTAATTTAAATAAACTATTTGAATGTATATATATATATGTAAGCTATGAATAAACTTTGTATACAATTGCCTTGCACCACCTGCCACTTATGGGTGAGGACAAAGGAGTCTAATAAAATGACCAGCTTGGCAAAATGATTAATACAAAACAGTTCTGTTCTGATAGATGGATGAGAAGAATAATAAATACATTTGAGGAAAAATCTGTTGAAAAAGTGTTGCTCTCCAAAAGGTGGATTCTGGAAAAAGTGATTTGATTTCAGTTTCTTGTGCAAGCTCAATTTCAGCATCTTTTTAGTTCAAACAGATTTAGATAACATGGTGAGGTTTCTGTATTTGGATTTTTCCCTTCAAATGAAATATGTCTTCCATTATTGAGTCTAAAGTAAAAGAAAAACGTTATTATTATATCCTCGGTTTCGATCTCTTCTCCTTCTTATTTATTTGCAGGTTTGGTCCAGGACTGTGGGGCTTGTCTTGGATGACGCTCAGCTTCAGGACGCTGAGTCCAATAAGACACCATCACCAGAACTGGGGAGAATCGGCCAGCTCGTGGTCCATCGAACAAAAGACTGGGTGAAGAATACAGCAGTGAAGCTGTGTGTGCTTCTGAAGAAGATCATCGCCTGCACCTCTGCTCACCAGCACTGGAGGGTCAGACTGGAGATGGTGGAGCTGGATGACCACCTGCTGGACAGGTGTAGCCAGTCCCTGAAACAGTGTGTGGGACCCCTGCTGGAGGCGCTGGTGGGAGCCGTCAATGATGAGGAGCCCAGAGTCAGAGAGAGGTTTGGCATTTATATGAGGAAAAAAGTAAGTCTAGACTACTTGATAACGAGGTGTTTGATGACACTGCTCTCCTATCCTCCAGGTGTGAGGTCGCTCTCAGAGCCGTGTCTCAGACAAATCAGAGCTGTAGCAGCAGAGGTGATAAAAGTAGCAGGGCTCAGACCTTCACTGACGTGCTCTCAGAGAATCTCCACTCGTTGGCCACCTCGCTGCCCAGACTGATGAGGACCTCGGATGACCAGAAGAAGCTGTTTGTCCTCAACGTGTTTCTGGGTTACATAAAACTGCTGGGACCGCTTGTCTCTGTGGTGCTAAACTCCGCAACACATTTAGAGAGGATTTCCAAAGCGTTAATGCAGGTAAAGTTTTTCTATGTTATATTATCTTTAAAAAAAATAGGCTTTATTAATGTTGTTTGTCACAGTAACTTATTTTGAATATCGAAACTAAAAGAGGGTTGAAGATCTAGTGTTTATTCATTTATATATTTGTTATATAAATACGTGAGTGTTAATGAAGTGAATGCATCCATGTGACTGAACTGTTCTGGATATTTAAACATTTTAAAAGTTAAGCTTTTTAAAGATTTGATTGGATGACAGGTGTCACATGACGGATGTGATCGGTGCATGATGGGCTTCTGGCTGTGTCAGATCTTATCTATCATCAGTGAAGTGTCATGTAGAGATTACAGAGAAGTAGCGTCATCATAATAATAATAATAATAGACTTTATTTGGCATGGACATCACAGATACATTGGACGAACCAGATGCATTGTTTAAGTGTTTTAGCATACATGCTAGTTCTCAACACCTGTCCACAGGAGGCTTTTGAAAGGAAAACAATTAAGATAGGGAGAAAAGCGATAAAAACAGAGAAAACAATAAGGAGAGAATGAATAAATACACTTAAACTGTAGAGCAAAGGCAGCATGATCAAACAATAAACCAGTCACAAACTATTCATGTGAGCACTGTTGTTTTGATTTTAGCCATTGTTTGAGTCCTCTGTTAAAAGCATTACTGTTGCTGATAGGGGACAAGGTGCGTCCCGCTCGAGAGGAACAAATTAAGTTTAAAATACTGGAGTTCCCAGCTAATACGGGATGGTTTGAAACCCCTAGTGAAACAGGAGAAGACAAAGCTGTCTTACTAACTGTGGGAATACAAGGAAGCTTCAGGCAGTGTGCAGGGAGAACCCTCATGGAGTCCGCACCCGCTCGCTTTCCGGTCTTATCTCTGATCTATTATTGCATATAACTCTAGCTGCAGTCTAAAGAAGTTACAAGTCAACGCAAAGCCCCAAAGTGTTGAATAATACACTCCTGTGTGCCTGTTCAGGTGCTGGACCTGGATGTGATGGATGTTCGCATCGTGGAGGAGAGGAGTTATGCTGCGACCATAGAGACGACCCCCGGCTCTGCTGATTCATGCTTTGCTCGCACGCAGAGGAAACACTTTCTCTACTTCACAGATGAGAAGATCTTCTCTGTTCTCATGGAGATCTGTCGGACTCTGGGTATGAAAATCGGTATCACAATGATCTACATTACGCTTCTCGCCCCTCTGGATACATAACCATGCACTACATGTGGCTCAAAATGATTCACATGAAGAAGTTATAAAAAAAAGTTAGACCATGACGGATTTTGAAGGCTAGTACGTTTACATAACGGAGTATTGCTAGCTATATATTGTGCCTCTTTGTTTACTTATTTTATGTAGTTTGACAGCCCTCCTATACCAAGCAACTTTTCTCTTTCTTATCTTTAGGTTACTATGGCAACCTCTATCTACTGACAGATCACTTCCTGGATCTGTACCAACAGTCTTCGTCATACAGAAAGCAGGCGGCCATGGTGCTGAATGAGATTGTGAGAGGCGCTGCAGGCATTGATGTGGAGACAGAGGGTCAGAGTTTGACGGGTCAAGTCCGTGGACACTCGGTGAACCAGGAAGACCTCACAGCTGCAGTGGCGTCTGTGATGGAGGAATACTTAAGTCTGAAGAACTGGCACTTAATGACTGTGAGTGAAGAGACGGAGAGGGACCGACAGGACCAGCAGGTGAGGATAGTTTCATCTGTGAAGGCTTTGACAAACTTTTTACTGAACTTGGATGCAGGTTTAGTTACAGCTGAGATGAGTAATCCTCGAAATAATCATAAATCAACCAGTTTGAGGCACATTTAAAGGAGTAGTTCATCATTTCAGTAAATATCACTATCACTTATCACTTTCACTTTCTTTGAGTCATAAAGAGTGATGCCACTTTATAAACTATGTGATGCACGCTAACTTCCTGTGTCTTTTGTCTCTCTGTAGCTTCTCAGCCCATCCAGACTGCTCTCCATATCCAACAGCGATTTCAGCAACTCTGACTCAAACTGTCTTCAAGTGATTTCTTCTAAAATAAACTCTCCGTGCACCTCAACGTCCACCTCCACGATCCACCAGCTCAACAGTAACATCTGGCAGCTGTGCATCCAGCTGGAGGGCATCGCCTGCTTTGCTCAAACTCTGGGGCGGGACTTTCGTCCATTATTGATGACATCACTGTACCCGTTCTGGAGAAAGCTGGGGAGGAGACTCTTTTGGTGAGCCAGGCGGCGCTCGGCTCCATGTGGGACCTCAGCAGAGCCTGCGGTTACTCCTCCCTGAAGGAGCTGATCAATGAGAACTCGGACTACCTGCTCAATGACATTTCGCTGAACCTGCAGAGGCTCAGCCAGCATCCACAGGTGAAATGTTTTCAATTTGGCAAGCTATTAGAATGTGCAGTTATACACAGTGGTATAAGACAAAGAGGAAGAGCAAATGTCATGAATTCTGTTTTCTGAAGCATCATCATCTTTTGGTCAATCAACATGTTTCAGATTTATATTTTAGTATGTGTGCCGCTCAGCGCCCACCGATTTTGATGACGAGGTCCAGAGTCAGAAAGTCGATATGTTTAATTTAACTAAATAATAAATGATAAAAACTAATTCTGTCAGTCTCAGTGAAACTTCAAATGCTTGTAATAATGAGACATCATCCCTAATCGTCCGCTGGTCTGCATTTCAAAGCACTAACAAAAAACTTTCAAACCTTCCCTGCTGACCCCTGAGCATGTATTTTAACCTCCTCCCGTCTCGTTGGCCAGGCTCCGCGGGTGTTGACAGTGATGTTAACGCACTCTGACTGCAGCCTGCTGCCTCTGGTCGGAGACATCGTTCAGGATGTGCTGATGGCTCTGGATCTGAGCTACGACCACACAGCTGCTCTCTTCTGCTCCGTGCTGCACGCCCTCATGAAGGCACTGGGTGAGGAGAAGTGATGTCGACTCAGTTATCACGTACGGTTAGAGTACAAAGGATGAGGAACAATTTGAATATGTGGCTTTTGTGACTCTTCTATTCACGTGGCGTTATGTTACATAGAATATCGCTCCCTACCACATTAAGTGTCTTGAGATATTTGTTCTGAATCGGGGCTCTACATAAGATGATTGATTGAGAGTTTAAAAAAGTTTCTTAGGCCCTTAATATAATTTAAAAACAGGTGAGTTGTTAGTTTCTGACATTCTTATGGTCAGATTTAAAGACAAGAATTTAAAAATAAGAATCCACAGTGGTTTGAATCAGATAACTCCTAATTCTGCAGTTCAGTGAAAGAAAAGTAAGTACAGACCAGAATCCCAGCTTTTGCAATCACATCAAGAGTGTCGAAAAATGTTTATGCACCTGTGTCGCTTCAGAAACCTCACTTTGGCACTAAACTATCCTCTGTGTTCTTTTTTTTCCTTTAGCGAGATGGTTTCCCTCCAGTTGTGGTCGTACAGCGGAGTCCACCCAATCTAAGAAATCCTCCAGTCATGAAGAAGTCTTCGACATCCGCCAGTTCATGCTGGATTACAGCAAGCAGAAAGAGCTGGCAGAGGGCATTGGAATAGAGGAGGATGCATCCGTTGAAGATCTAGGTAATTCAGCTCGCTGCCTGTTTGAAGGGGAAAGGACAAATGACATCATACACTGTTGAGGTTGTATAACATGACAGTTTTCAGAGGCAGAACTTAGTTATGGGGATAGGAAATAAAGAATAAATAAAAACAATAACCACCACGTTGTCGAGCAGTCAACCATCTTCCATCTCCCCCTCTCTGTCTCTACTCAGAAGTCCCTCCCCCCATGGAGTGTGAGGAAGATGCTGAAGATATCTACGGTCCCGATGTGAAACCAGAGCTCCCTCCTCACCTCAGCATCACCAAAGACGTCATGGAGCGCTGCATCCATCTGCTGTCAGACCCCAGCCTGAGGGTCCGACTCAAGGTGCCGCAGCTTTCTTTGTGACTCAATATGGCTCCATCGACTGTCTCTTTTTTTTTTTTTTTAATTCAGGTTTTTTTTCTTCAAAGATTTATTTTTGGGCTTTTCGTGCCTTTAATTCAGAGAGAGGACAGTGGATAGAGTTGGAAACCAGGGAGAGAGAGCGGGGAATGACATGCGGAAAGGGGCCACAGGTGGAGGCGAACCCGGGCCTACCGCTCGAGACGAGAGTCTCAACACATGGGACGCGCGCCCTAACCATTGCTCCACCAGCGCGCCCCGACTGTCTCTTTTAGTGAAGTTTTAAAAAGCTGTTTAAAACACACTTGTATGTAAGCACTGTGTCCATAAAAAGTGTAGTATTCACAATCGTTATGTTGTTTTTATGTTGACATTTTCTGCTTTAATTGGCATCCCTGTGCAGCACCTTGTAACCTCGGTATTAAAAGGTGCTTTATAAATAATGCTTACTTTCTACCTTAGCGTCTAGAAGCTCGAGAAGTCTATTAAATGTTGCTCTGCGTGTCTCACCTCAGGTCCTGGATGTGCTGGAGCTTTGTGTTTGTGTTCTGAGCGAGAAAGAAAACGAGCTGCTGCCTATGGCTCATCGCTGCTGGCCCCCCCTCCTACAGAGACTCACAGCTGACGACCCTTTAGCCGTCCTCAGAGCCTTCAGGGTAAGTGGAGCGAGTCTCTTCGTCCTATACAATCTTTTCACAGTAAATTTTAACTTACTCTAGTTACTCTACTCTAGTAAGGCTTGCATTCACATCTGGAGTCTCTTATTTTTAATCACTTTATGTTAAAGTTATATTAAAGGGGACATATTATGAAAAATCCACTAGTGATAGTGTTTTTGAACATTTATTTGGGTAACCTGAGTGTCTACTGACCCACAAAATGTGAAATAAACCCATCCAGTCCTTTGTTTGTGGTCTGCATAAGTCTTACAACACAGAGAAAAATGCTCTGTTTCAAATATGGTCTCCTTGTGACATCACAGTGGAATTCTGGAAAAAAAATCCCCTCCCCTTCCCCTGGTATCTCCACCCATGGCCTCCACCCCCAGCCTAGGTCCGCCATTTTTATTCTCGCTAACGAAGGAGTGATGTCTACCGGGAAAACTGTGGGGGGCTCATTGGATTTAAAGAGACACACACACCAAAACAGAGCATTCAGAGAGAGCTGGTTTATACAGGGTCACAAACCTCCTCTGGTGTTTGATTCATGTTATATTTTGACCAAAGCACAGGGGACTGTTTGAAAAGGTGGAGAAGGGGGACAATATGTCCTCTTTAAATTATAAGGCGCAAATCACTTCATGTAAAACTGCAGCAGCTGTAGATATCTGACAGCATATTCAAATATTAGTTACCATTGGGTGACGTTGCCCAGATTTTGCCCGTGTTTATTTACTCTCTATGGAGACACTAAACAGACATCTTGTTTTGTACTTTATTTAAAGGCTGCTGTGTATATAAATAAATGCTTGTTTCTCTCTCTCTCTGCCAGGTGCTGTGCACTCTGGGTGATACGTGTGGGGACTTCCTGAGGAGGAGGGTTTCTAAAGAAGTTCTGCCCAAACTGAGCTCCTCGCTGACACGACAGGCTCCGATTAGCGCCAAAGCCGGACCCGTCTACACACACACCCTGGCCTACAAATTACAGCTGGCTGTTCTTCAGGGGCTGGGCTCACTGTGCCAGAGGCTGGACCTGGGTAAGAGAATAAACAACTCACACAAAGAGCAGACATTCAACATGATCCCATAAGTTTGTTATGAATCATAGTGTAACAATGATCCCGTCGTCATGATAATATATCAAGTTTCTTAATCAAAGTTAACATTATGCATAGGATTTGATTTTGGTGACCTGCAGGCACAGACTTGGGAGGGCACTGCTCCTGGATAAAGTTTTCCAAGAGAGGGTTCCAGTCCATAGCTTTCCCTAAAGCCCCAAATAGTGGCTACCTTAGTTTTGCTAAATTTATTTTTCTCTCTTCCCTCATGAAAATGGGGGACAGTGTACCCTGACTCTGCCTTTCCTGTATTTCTACAGACTCTCTCTTTTCTGTAATTTTGACAGTAGCTAGAGGTTGTGTTTTATTCTTTTTTTAAAACCTTTTTTACACAAGAATGCAAAGCACAAAGACGTTCTACAGGTGGTGTTATATCCGGTGAGAGACAGCATGGAGGGAGGTAGCTTTGGGACGCACAGAGCTAACTGTCCAGCCTTCTTAAGGAGTCGTGGATCTATCTATGCAAAAACACCAGTGAAGGAAGGACCCCACTGGATCCCCCCAGTTATGTGTTTGCTCTTGCTTCCAGCTAGTTTTACAGTTGAGTTGTGGGTGCCATGTGGAAGGGTAGATAGTATCAGCATTGTCAATACCTGGAGCTGCCGGAGGTTGGCGAGGCTGTTTGGGTCTTGGCTCCTCCGCCTGCTGCACGCTCAGCCTTCTTATTGGGGCTCAAGTTTCTTGTGTTTATTGTCAATCAAAGGAAATGGGTAGAAGTGAAAGCTTTTCTGCATACAGCCAAAAACAGGAAAAAGACATGATACCCTTCAGATCAGCCACAGAGAGCACTTTGACTCTTTCACCACCAGATGGCACTCTTGTGTTAGAATGAAAAACCAAAAAAGGGGTAACAGCAGGAGCCAGTCTGTCTCCATTCTTCTCTCGTTTTATTATAAAGATCTGAAGATTCAGTACACTTTTACATCTTGAAAAATCAAGATGTAGTGCACCTGTTTTCATGCGCTTGATAAATCAGAACCATTTGATCTACCTTCCTTTGTTGATAGCACAGACTGCACCTCAGCACATCCAACACATTACAGTGTGAAACAATTATCCATGCCTTTACCACTCATGCATCAAATCACACAATGCTCAGTGGAATATCAAAGTGGCAGTGCTTCAATTTAACACATAGTGAAGATGACTTTGAACACACAGTTACCACAGCCAGCTCACCAACATGATCCTCCTGAATCCTTCGCTGCTCTAACACAAGAAAAAAACTGCAGCAACAACTGTTCTCCCTCAAGCTCCACTTCACCACAAATAAGCAAGAAAACGCTGTGAAATCTGCACGGCAATCAGCAAATGAAGAAGCCACAGAAGATCTTGAATAACTCAAGGCATCAAATGGGTTTAGAGTTGTGTATTTTGTGCTTGGCATAATTTCAGCAGCACAACTCAAGATGTTTGTTCTAAGTGTCCTGGTGGCTCAGAACCAGTGTGTTACCAATGAGGTGATCATGAGCCGCTCGTCTAATTGTACATCAATCATTTTGTTCATTTCGCACGGTGACGATCCAGCTTTCTAACAGTGCTAAATACAAACTGAATATACCGGGAGTTGGAGCATCTTTCTTCAGCATGCGACTTCTTTACGCCTCATTTCTAGTTGAATGTGTGCAGTGCTTTTCAGACTACTTGATGAAAATATCTGGCTCCTTACAAATGAATGTGGTGATTGCAATCAGCTATAGAGATCATTGGAGATGAGTGTTTAGATGCTTTAAATGGTAATGATGTGAACTCCTGCTTTCCACGGACAGTATGAAAGAGAGTGTTGAAGCAGCGATAAACCAGTGCACACAGGTTTTACACTGCCATGATGAAAGGGGCTCAGTTTGCACATTTTAGAATTTAGATTTATGCTGGACAAAAAATTGTGTCATTAAATCTTATTGTGTCATATAACAGACCATACGAGTCTTTCCTCCACTGGGAAGTCCTGGGTTTTGATTTTGAGTCGCAGTATCTTCTCGTTTTTCATCTTCATTTCCCGATGTGGAGCATGCTGATGGTGTGAACATCACACACTGCACCCTGCTGCTGAAACTCATCATTGAGGGTGAAAAGTTTTCTGCTTTTCACAGAGACACTGTGTCATAGAGGAAGCAGGTTTTTTTATTTTTATTTCTTCTGAAAGGCCAGCATAGCAGCGACAGGTCGGCAGTTCAAAAGGAATTTCCAACTGTGGGAATGGAGAGGGAAAAATGGAGAAATGGAGATTCTATTTAATGTCATTTAAAATAAGATTTAATACGAGAAGCTTTAAACGTTTGTCTGAAGAACATCAGAGAGAATGAAAACAAATAGAACTGAATACATTTAGAATAGAGGTCAGGGGCAACGATCAATTCAATTACAGTCCAGAACAAATCATGTGAAGCTGACGTTCTCTTCCACTGGGACGTAATCTGTAGTATCCAGTCTGTTCCATCAGCAGAGATTTTGTGTGGGAATATAAGTCCTTTACTGTTCAGAAGTGACTGAAATTGTTTGTTAGTTTCAGTAGTGGAGGGTGTGTGGTTGGGGGTTCACAGTGGGGGTGAATAGGTTTGCTTCAACAAGTAGATGACCCTGCAGCAGTGATGAAAGGGGATTCTTTTGTAGTTATTGGTTCTGGAGGAAGAAGAACATTTCTGGATTAATACTCACCTTAGAAGTCCACATTTTGTAGCACTAAGCTTTTAGCCATCAATCACTTCTGCAGCAGTGCTCGTCAGTCAGAGTTAGTGCTTTCACTTTTTGAGCTTTGAGATGTGGTGCAAAGAAAAGGTGAGAAACGTCATCGTGTGTGCAGCAGCTGAGAAACCATCTGTGCCTGTCTCTAATTGTAGAGAAAATGTGACATATGGCGTTTGATCTGAGGAGTTTGAATCATTTTTCCTCTTTGGTTGCAAAAAAATAATAATTAGGACCCCTAGTTTGAGTCAAATCACACAAGTACAAACACTCCCATGAAATATTCCTCTGTTATCATGTCAGGCTTTGTTTCAAAATATTCAACAAATATGCAATATTGTTGTTTTAATCAAACTTCAATCAACTCCCCAGCACTAGCATTAGCATTTAGCAGCTTGAGAGTGAAATATTTCCCTAAGGTGTTGGTGGAGATAAACCGAGATTGCTCTGTCATTACTTACTTTTAACTTACAGAGCCTTGAGCACCCCAAGGACGATCTCAAGGACTGTTTAGTGTTTCACATCTGTTCCTTTACTTCTAATGAAACACAAAGTAGTAAACTGTAACCCATTTAAGGGGGATGTTTGTTTGTATGTTTGTTTGTTTAACAGTACACTCATCCCAGCAGATCAGCAGTTTTTAAGATTCTCTAACCAGCCAGTCTGATACCAACAATCCATCCATTTCCATCCCATGTTTCTCCTCTTTCTGATATCTGGTCTTAACCATTAAACCTCTTGACTCTGTCCATGATGACTCCTACATGATTGGCTTATAAGATATGTGCATTAACTATGTGCAGGTGTAGCTTATAATGTGACCATTTAGGTTATTATGGTTTTTTATGGTCACACATATGTTGTTGTTTATTTGTGAGAAACTTTTTCAGATTCAAAGTGTCTCTCCTTGAAATAGGGATCATTCATATATGAAGTTGCATTGGGTTCAGGTCTACGATTAGGCAGCAAAAGTTAAACTCTGTCTTCAGGTCTCAGGGAATGGGTTCGAGTTTCTGTGACAGTTTAATGTCCGTGCAGCCATGATGGAAATATTTAAGCTGTTTGAAATTCAAGGACACTAGCACAGCAGAATCTCTGCACAGAGTACCAACACTCCAGTGATGTACCATTTGAATTAGAGGAGAATACATACCCTACATTCATGTTTCCTGCTCTGTCCTGACAGGCAGCTCACTCACTGTTAGGTAGGAGACCATTGGGATTCAAATTAGGGATACACTGATTCATCGGTTCAACATCGGCCCTTCTGACAGACATCAGCACATCTGCAATGTGGCATGAGCCGATGTCAGTAGCCAATGTTTATTTGCACAATTTCCCAGTTTTGCCACAATTTCCCAGTTTGGGATCAATAAAGTAATTCTATTCTATTCTATTGTTGTGCCAAATCAATTTAATGCTGACATCTAGTACCCCCTAACTACTGATTCAGAGAAGTTGGCCTTAATGGGAATACAACCTGCATCCTAGTTTGATTGGGACCCCCCCTGGTACTCATGATGCATCATTTTCAGATTGGAGGGTCTCAGAATAGCACGTGTAATCACTATGTTTAAGTAAATGAGACAGTGTGCTTGTGTTTCATTCATAAAGAGAACTGCAGATTAGCAGAAAAAGCTGACTCCAACGATTGCATGATTACCACTGGAGACTACAAAAAGGCAACTGCAGCAACATCACTTCCTACAGGCCTCAAACGACTGATGTGCAACCAAGAAAAAAAAAAACATCCTTTAAGATGCTTTCGCTTGATTTTTTTTTTTTTCTCGGTGGCACTTGACATGGTGCCTCCTTCACATCTGAACGAGGGGAGACTTGGCGTTGAAAACGGACAGAATGTGAAGGAGCCAGGGAGAAACAGTCACGGCTGCAGCCCTGCTCATGTGAATACCGATTTGGCTACAGCTTACCTCTGGGACGCCTGCAGCAAGCCAATTACCGAGCCCCAGTCACAGAGAGAGAAAGACAGAAACCCAGATTGACTGAAGCAAATAATACGTTTCAGCCCCAGTGCTAGCTTCAACTCCAATTCCACCCTCTTCTTCATTTACCACTAAATCTAACAGCACCTGGCCCCTCTCCTCTTTTAAGTATTTCTCACTTCTCTGCTTCCCTCCCAGCACCTTGATTGCACAAAAGACTACGGGCTACAAGTGCGGCACCAGCAAGGGAGGAAGAAAGGAAGATAAAAGCAGTCGCTAAATAATCCCATTTAACTCTGAAATGTGCACTGCTGCTTTTATTCCCGACACACAGCGAGCAGGCCCCGGTTCAAGCCGAGTGTGGGTTGCATTGGCAAATAGAGTAAGTAAGAGAGAGAGAGAGAGAGAGAGAGAGAGAGAGAGAGACATGTTTTGAAATGAGGCTTGAAAGGCAGCCCACTTTCAGCTTAGGGAATCTCTGAGGGGTCTGCTGGGAGATATGGAGAGAGTGAGAGATGGGGAGAGGAGATGAAAGAGTGGAGAGAAGTCAAGTGGGTGGAGGGAGGTTAGGTTATGAAAGGTGTGTTTAAAGAAGGGGGAGAGGGGAGAAGGAAGTGAAACCGCAGGTGGCGTAAATAAAAATAGATGAAGAGGGAGGAAAGAGATATAGCCCTGTTCACACACATCCACTCCTCAAAAAAGAGGGATGTGTGAAGTCCAGTGAAAGAGCCCGCTGTGAAATTTCTCCTCAGCCGTCTCAGCAGTTTCTCTCAGCTCATTAGGAGTTAGAGAAGGTAAAAGTCCTGGCATGTTCCATTTCTCCCCCCCCCCCCTTCCTCTTTCATCTTCTTCTCTTTCCCTTTTATCTTTCTTCCTACTCGTTTTCCAATCAACCGTCTTACCGAGCGACGCAAGTTTGCCGGCAACTGTGATTACATATGCGTTTTTCTGAGAGCTTTTGAAAGTAGCTGAAATTGACTGAGATTCTTCATCTCTGACTGATGTTGTGTAAAATGATCTTTTTCTCTGCAGAAGTGAAGGAATATGCGTGTCATAGTCGTTTCTTTGTTTCTCAGGTGAAGCAGATCTGGACGCTGTTCGTGAGGCCTGCCTGCCCTACCTGAGCTCTAGGCAACCAATCAGAGTGCAAGAGGCCAGCGTGAGGTGAGTCTTTATCCAGGAATAAACGTTGATCAACTCTGAGCCTTTCACAGGATTAGATTTAGAATACTTTTTTTTTTTTTTAAAAAGCCGAATTCTGTTGCTTAACTTTTGACCTCATATTTCAAAAACTGCATTAGTCGATAAACTCTCAGCATGAACAAGAACATGATGTGATGAATCATGACAGGACAACAAAATCGACTCCAGCTGAAATCAAAAGTCATTCTCCTGATTGGTCGACCCTTCTCTCGTTGACCCTCAGCTATACCGGGACATGTCTGAAGCTCTTAGCATCATAATTCCTCATCTCTTCTTGGCATGACTCTAACAAACAACCCCCGCCCCCGTGATCTGTTTATTTTCCTCAGAAGTCCTGAATATTGTGCATGTTGGCATCTTATCATTAGTGTGTGAACAGTCTGCCAGTGCAGATAAGTGCTGCAGCTTAAAACATTGCAGCGCTGTGTCGTTAATCACCGGGTCTGAAAAGTGCCAGAAATCAGCACATCAGTACTTCCAGAAGTTTAACCACTTCCAGTACTTTTGCTTGATATGTAATAGTCTTAACATTAAACAATAATATGAACATAAATACCTGACCATTAACCATGCAGACATATAATTTTCACAAGAAAGCTTTGACTGAATGTCTCACACTTTTAGGATGTTGATTTTTTTCTTGCAGCGATGGAATTGAAATTAGCTTGATGATATAATAGCTAGTGTTGGAATCAAGACCACACTAACCGAGACTGAGATCACAGTGCTCCAAGACCGAGAAGAGACCGAGACATTTAGGGATCGAGACCGAGTCAAGCCCAAGACCACAATGCTCCGAGACCGAGAAGAGACATTTAGGGGTCGAGACTGAGTCAAGACCAAGACCAAAAATATCACTGAAAAACCATCTTATTGCATGCAGCGGGCGTGTTACTCACTGAGACCGCCCATTGCTATAAACCAATACCCAGAAACGAAGACCCCAAAAATCAGCAAAAGAAAAAAAAGCAAAAGGGGCGCCAGTGGATGAGTGGTTAGTTTGGGCCCCCCATTATGAAGGCTGTAGCTTTCAAAGTGGGCGGCCTGGGTATAAATCTGATTTGTGGCTCATTTTAGGAATGTCATTCTCCACTCTCTCCCTCCCCGATTGCAGACTCTATCCACTGTCCTGTCTCTTTAGTAAAGGCACACCCCCCCCCCCCAAAAAAAGGCTGTCAAACCAATTTAATTGCAGACTGACTTCTAATCTAATCTAATCTACTCCAGTTTAAGAAGGTGCATCACTTCCTACATCCAATAACTATATGTTGATGGAATAGGATCCTTTAATTTAAATTGATAGCCAGGAGAGAACAGAGACCTTTATACTGATTTCCAACCTCCGAAGACCCGCTTCCACTGAGCCCACCTTAAACACTGCAACAAATAGAGACGGTGACAAAGACAGTTTTCCAATATTCACTGAGCAACGTTAGAACATCACAGAACACACGCAACAGGGAACATGCACGATCCACGAAACTTTAACCTCAGAGAGTGAGGCCTAACAACAGTGCAACAACAATGCCAACATAATGAAGAGGAGAAAATACCACCGTCCTTAAATAATCTTATGAAAAGGTGATTTCTGAGGTTGTAAGATAGTGTTTTGAAAGAGTTTGTCCTGACTGATTAAACCTGGTCGTTAAACACTATATAAGAGGTAACAGAGGTAACAGAAACATCCTGGAGGATCATGCGGATCTTGCCGTCAAACTGTAGGACTGCTGTCCAAAGCGTAAAGCTGCTGTGTTCTGCTCAGTCTGTCACTTTGGATTACATGAAGGTGTTTTTTTTTTACATGCTAGAAAAGTTAGGCATATTACTAAAATACAGCCCAGAGCTAATCCTCTCTCTTAAACTCCTCTCCTCAGCGTTTTCCGACACTTAATCCAGGTGGATCCGGATGCCTTGTGGTTCACTCTGAATGAGCTTCACTGCCCGACTTCCTACGTCCCGCCTCACCCCGACCTCCAGCCGGTGCAGCTGAGCGGAATGGGCCGACCGAGAGACGAGTACTCGGATAACGTGCTGAAGCTGCTGCGGGAGGAATTTGGCTCGCTTGCTGAGGCGGTCGACCAGCCAGGCCTCGCTAATGAGCCAGTGATTGATGTGACTGACTGATCTCGCTCAAACAGACGGCTCGCCACTGACTCTAGCAAGTCAATTAACTGAAGGAAAAAAATCTGACAATTGTGCCAAACAGCAGCCATCAGATGTGCTCTGTGATAACCTTCATGGTGTAAACAGCTCTGATAAGGAGCAAAGGGTACAAAGGGAAAAATGTCAATGAAGCAGTGTCTCCTGCCGTTCACTCTCCTGCTGCAGATGTCTGTAGCAGGAACACTTCAGACAGCTCTTTTACATCAGGAGACATGCAGTGACAGCGCTGAAGGCTCTTATTTCACCACAAGGCTCAGACTGAGATTTACCTTTTCCATTCAGTCTTCTGTTCTCTGTTTATATTCATGTCTTTTTTTTATTTTATTAAGAATATGTTATATTCAAGATGTAGATCTGAACACGTGGGATCTTTTAATCTTGCTCTTGGCCCAGATAAAGAGACTGTTCATGATCCTTAAAGCTTCATTAAAAGAACACACAAAATGCTTTCAAAGGGGTTTTCATTACACATCATCTTGTAGCCACTAGGGCTGTCACAGTACCAGAATTTTAAACTTCAATAAAATACCAGTGAATATTAAACTCTAACGATACCTGTTTTAATACCATGGCATCAAAAATTACAAGTTCAAGGAACCCAAAATGAGCAAATGTCTTGTTTTCAATTCCCCAAAATTGCGAGCAAACGTGCACACTGTCTGATTGTAATACTCCTGTGATGGCCGTGACTAATTGCTCATTCGGACATGCACAGAATGGAGCTGGCTGGTCAGGTGAGGGAAGTCAGAGAGGTTTGAGAAAATGCGTTGTCAGTTTTGGTGTCTTCATTTAAATTTTTTACAATAGGGAAAATGAAGACACATCCGTCAGGTGCAAATAACAGAGGAGCTCTGTTTGTATAGCGATGCCCTCACTTACCTCTGAGCTCTCCTGCCACCCACATCACACGGGCTGTCTGCAAATGCATCAGCCTGAGAGGAACAAGGGGTCCGCGCGGTTGTGCACCTATTGGGTAATTGAATGTCTCATGACAGGGACGTAGGCCGATCTATCATTGTACCGGTTATCACTTAAAGCCCTACAGGGTTCCAGAGCTGTTTAAAACAAGAAAAATAGGAAACCCCCATCCCTTATCACGTCACCTTACTGATGTGAGTGCCTGCAGCCTCCCCACCTCATCACTCCTTAATGAATGTATGAGCCTTCTTGTGTGGGGAAACAAGATCGCCATGTGTTTTGTATTTAGCTGGTCTGGTTTAATGCTAGTGAGTGCTGCACAGCGCCTCTTTATCTCATCCTGTGCTGTTGCTATTTATCCTGCTGCCAGTGCTGACAATAGCACCATTAGTCATCAGCAGCAGCGGAAGGGGGGCTTTGGCAGCACCTATTACACACAGGCAACTGCCTAATATCGTTTCTCCTTCATGCATGTGCACACACACACACACACACACAGAGCCAGGGTGAGAAGCTTAACCACAGTTGAGGCACAGCTGATCATATACCCATAATAACCCTTTGGACATCAACAGAAGCAACTGTTAAGGGTGAGTTTGGGATTTTACCTTTTTTAGTCCCTTAGGCCCCCTTGAGCATCTGGTGTTAAAAGTTTGTTCTGGTCTATGGATGTCATCATCAGGCTAAGGAAGATCAGTAATGCAAGGAGAAGTATCATATCGATGTACAACTCAGACATTGTACTCAGGGTGAAGCACAAATGTTGTTTCAATGTTGTACTTTTGAGTTTCAGGTTTGCAAATCAATACATGTTGACATTATATTTACTGTAGTCCTTTCACAACTTGTTGAACTGTTCAGCATCTGAAAATTCAATATTAAGTGGGAATCCCAAAGGACATGGAGCCTATTTCAAAGTAAATAAACATTTTATGAAAAATAGCAGACTACCTACAGCTAAGTCAACAATGAATACTTGGGAGTCAAACAAATCCTTGCTGAAAAAAATTCACCTTTCATACCATGTAACAAAAATGGTAATATCTGCAAAGATGTGGTTGACAGCTAAAGTTAGCAGTTAAAATTTTCTGATAACTCATCCATTTTGCTCTTATGAAGGATAAGATTTATTCACATAGGGCGAGTAGCTCACCTGATTGACAGGTAACGGTTTGTCAAGAGGCTTAAAACCGCCTCAGCCTGTCGTTAGGTTGGCTGAAAGTTAGGTTGAGACAGCATTTCCAGCATGGCGACCGCCATCGAAGGGACTCCAGCGCTCCCTGCAGTAACAGATTGGTGATGTCACTCAGGCCTTGTCCATTAATATTTACAGTCTATGGTCTAACCTTGAAGTATTGCCCCATGTCTGATTGTTTTTTTCCCAATACATTGTCTTCTAAGGTCCTGATCAATCTAGCAATGACAAAATAGCTTTCCTCCATAAGTGTGACGGAGGAAAACGGTTAACATTCATAGAGTGAAGTGTGTTTGGACCTTTTACAGTTGTAAATGCTTTCCCTACAAATTACACGCCATCCCTACTCTATGTCTTTATTCCTCTCTGACCACTTTGTGCAAGATGGTAACTTCACAATGCAACATATGGTATTTGGATAACATGGCAGGATACAGATTGCACTTTAATAACATGTATAAATTTGGTCTGAATCTAAAACAAAACGACCACAAATTCACTCGTGTTTTCATATACAATTTATTTAATTTGATAAAGCCATACACTTAGTGTGAGACCAAACATTCTAGAAGAAATGTACATTTCCCTCTTTTTTTTCAACCAGTGATTTCTTCTTTACAAAACATTAAATCAAAGTTACTCATTGAAACATAAAAAACTAACCCCACTGATCACTCCTCCCTCAACTGCAGCATCCTTTTCTAGTTTACAGGGACTGTCAAGAAGCACAGGAGCACTGTAGTTCTTCTGATGGATAACACAGCGAGGAAGTAAAAGCCCTCATGGCCTTGAGACACAGGCTGTATTTTAGGCGAAACGACCGCCGTGTTTGGTGTTACATCAGCAACATTCTGCTGTTCCTTCTCCCCTCACTGCAAGGCTCAATACAGTGTGCTACCTACATGTACTTTGTCCCTTCTGATTACTTCAGAGTGGAATATTGTCCAGCATGTCAAACAAGCATCAAAGCAAAGACATTATCATCAGGTTATAAAGTTGGCAGGATTAAAATGGCCTTTCAAACTTTGTACCAAACTGCATGAAAAGCTTCCCACGTTCTCGCTAATAACATGGTAACGCTCATGTAAGCAGCCCTGCACATACGGTTCAGTAGTTTAAGAAAGACTGATTGGGTACTAAGATACATAAGGGAAACCCCTTTTCTGAGCAGCTATGAAGAGAATGTGTCATTCATCTGTCTGTACAGCACTTCTGGAGAGCGGTAAAAGCAACAAAACGAGTGAAAAACAAGAGCTCTATTTGACAGGACATTCGAAAGTGGAATAAAAGGTAATGAAAACAGAATGGACTTCAGTGTTTTAAATGAACAGAAACTAACAAATAACAGAAATATCCTTAACTAGCACACTGGCTTTGTGTATGGTTGGTTGAAAAAAGTTTTTAAGAAAATTACTGAACATGCACTCACTTTATTTCGTATAATACAGTCATATTTACAGAGTGGATTAGAGGCTTGTAGTGGAGAGGATTGAGGCTTTTCAAATGATTGATGAGCATCAGAGTAAGAGAGCAAAGCCTGGGTAGAAATACAGCACTGCTCTTCCCAAAAAGCAACACGCTCCAAGATGGATGGATTTCTTCAGTTGATTTATGGCCACAGAGTTGATTCAGAGGAACACCGAATCAGATTTTTAATTTAGTGCCGCAGATTTTGATGTTTTCATGGCTTTCCAAACAGGTGGCGGTCCAAATGGAACAGCGTGATTGATTTCTCTCAGTCTGAACAACCATGAATGGATCGAACCTGCAGCACAAAGAGGGGGGGGGGGGGAGGCTGTGAAAAGCTCAAAAGAACTGTGGGGTAATTACAAACTGTGATGTGCTTTGTTTGAATTGTGCTCAAATGTGTTTAAAAAAAAGCCCACACTTTCCACTGGATTTACTTCAACTCAAATGAACTGAGGCTTTACTTATCCATGATAGATTTGTGCTGAAGAAAGCTGTTTTTTTTTCTCCCTGTGAGTAAACACAGAATTACGTATTGAGTTATCGTTGTCTGCAGATTTGCACCATATCCATGTCGATTTATACACAAAAGGATGCAATGAAGCTTGTGCTTTTGGTAGAAAGCTAAGGAATCAGACTGGACAAGAGATCAAGGACAAAATTGCTGACAGTTGAGTTTCATTCAGTGCACAATCTGAATAAAAGGATAATTTTCTTTGACTGGGCATGGACCCATTTACAAAAGGTAAAATGCTCTCCTTTTTTCTGAAGGGTGCATCAAATGAAAGTGTAAGGCAGTGGAAGGAGTATGGGCATGATAGCAAGGCTGTGTCATTTACAGTATCTAAAGTACAGAGGAGCATGGGTTGACAGTAAGACGAGAGTCTTTTTCATTGGTGCTGAGAACGGAAACAGAGGAGCTCCTTAAATCTACAACAGCCACCCCTTTACCGAATGTCGTGAAGCCAGGCTTTATAGACAGTGAGCAGTCCAAACCCAGATCCATGCACAGCAACAAAAAGCTACTTTCCAAGCACAGTTGAATAAGCCATACTGCACATTTCTAAGTATTTTTGATTTGTACTCTGTGTGGGAAGAATAGCTTTTTATGCTGTGACATACATCAAGTTATTGAATCCATGTGAAATCAACCACTCAGGTGTAATCAAGCCATCATCTACAGTGCACAGCTCGGCTCATTGCTGCAGTCATTGTTGTTGTGGTTACTGTCCACGTCCCTCTTCCTCAGCTCTCTGCCCGCCTTGTGCTGCTGACCGCTTCCGCTGTGGCTGTGGCCATGGTGGGTGGGCGAAGAAGGCCGCTTGCCGTTCTCCTGGTGGTGCCCATGGTTCTGGTGATGGCCGTGAGCATGCTCTTTGGTGCCTCTGTGAGACTCCATGCCGTCTCCCTCTTTGAATGGCACACCTTCCTTGGTGTCGTCCAGGGCTTCAAAGTTGTCATGGTGGGTGCTGTCGATGACTTCGCTCTCTGGCACCACCTGCAGGTACGCTCTGACGCGGTGGTGGCGAGCACCTTCGATGTCACTAAAGTCGATGACGCGGCATTCGTAGATGCCTTCGTCAGAAGGTTTGACCCGGGAGAGGCGGAGTTTATGGGAGATGTTGCTTCCAACGACCTTCACGACCTGGCAGAGGAAGACAAAAAAAAAGGTCAGAAATGATGGTGAGATGTCTAACAGAAGCAGTCAGATGAGGGAAATGAAAAATACAACTGAGTGAGAGGTAATTAAAGTGGAAGAAGCCGACATTTTTGAAAATGTCATTGCTCCTTCTTCCTTCTTTTAAGCCTGTCTTCCTTGTACAAGACAGGAACCAAATTTAGATTTGTATGTGAGATCACATTTAATT